ACGAATCCCACATAATCTCACTCAGTATGTGGAATCTAAAAAGTTGATATCCTGTATCAGAAGTCTAATGATGGTTAACAGAGCCTGGGAAGGGTGGGGGCAAGAGAGATGGGGAAAAGTTTGTCAATGGGTGCTAAGTTACAGTTAGATAGGAGAAATAAAATAGGATGACTATAGATAATGATAAAATACTGTGTATTTCAAAGAAATTGGAAGAAGCTGCGTGTGGTAGTGCATGCCTGTAATCCCAGTTACTCAGAAGGCAGAGGCAGGAGGATTGCAAGTTCAAGGAAAGCCTCAGCAACTTAGTGAGGCCCTAAGCAGTTTAGTAAGGTCCTGTCTCAAAATAAAAACTAAAAAAGACTAGAGATGTGTTCAGTGCCCGTGGGTTTAATCACCTAGTACCAAAATGAAGAAAGAAAGAAATAAAAGAAGAGGGAAGGAAATTTTTAAACATATTTACCACAAAGAAATAATAAAACCAGTTATGGTGACAGGAATCTGTAATCAGAAGCTGAGCAGGAAGATTATAAATTCAAGGCCAGCCTTGGCAACTTAGAAAAACCCTGACTCAAAAATTAAAAAAGGTTGGGGATATAGCTCAGTGGTAGAGTGCCTCTGGATTCAATCCCCAACACTGAAAAAAAAAATGATAAATGTTTGAGGAGTTAGATGTACTTACCATGATTTGAACATTACAAAATGTATACATATATCAAAACATCACATGGTATTCCAAGAATATGTACAATTTTTATGTGTCAATAAAAAAATAATGAAAAATGAGAATTTCTGGCTTAAGTGTCATGGTAAATATTGGGAACTTCACCTAAGATGAGAAAAGAACATTGAAAGAGAAGCAGGTTTGGGAGTTAGGAGAAGGAGAAGATGATATACTAAATTCTAGACATGTTATTGGATTGTAATACAATTCCATTGTGGTCTGAGAGTATATTTAGCACAACTTGAATTCTTTTAAATTTAAGATTTGTTTCATATCATCAAATCTGATCTATCTGGGTAAATGTTCCATGGGCACCTGAAAAGTATGTCGATTCTTTTATTAAATGGAGCATCTTACAAGCATCAATTAGGTGAAGTTACTTGATAGTGTTAATCAAATATTCCATATTTTTGCATATTTTCCATCTACTGTTACTAGAAGCATGCTATTGAAATCTATAGCTATAATCATGAATTTATTTATTCTTGATCCTAGTTTTGTTACATGTATTTTAAAACTCTATTGTTAAGGGCATATACGTTTAAGATTGTATCTTCTTGGTTAACAGACACCTTTATCATTATGACATAGGCTTCTTTACATTTATTTTATTTTATTTATTTATTTTTATATGGTGCTGAGGATCCAACCCAGGCCCTGCCACATGCTAGGCGAGCGCTCTATCACTGAACCACAATCCCAGTCCAGCTAATTTACATTTGATAATATTCCTTAGTATAAAATCTACTTTAGTTTGGACTACATCTTTTTTTAGAATAGTAAATCTCTTTCTATCCTTTTACTTTTAACCTAACTTTGTCTATGAATTTAAAGTACATTTCTTTTTCTTTTTTAGTTGTAGATGGACACAATATCTTTATTTATTTGTTTATTTATTTATTTATTTTTATAAGGTGTTGAGGATCAAATCCAGTGCTTCACCTGTGCTAGGCAAGCACTCTATCACTGAGCCCCTTAAAGTGAATTTCTTGTCAGCAGCATATTGTTATGTTTTAGATTTTTTTACCTAATCTTTGTTGTTTAATCATATAGTTTTAGTCCATTTATATTTAATATGATCATTGATGTGTTTTATTTTAAGTCTATCATCTGCTGGTCTGGAAACTATACTTGTTTTATATCTCTCTGATACTCTTTTCATTTTCTGAAAGTGTATTGAGCTTCTTAGATCTCTAAGTGCAATCAGCCCTCCATATCTGCAATTTTTGCAAGTATGGATTCAACTAGATGCTGATTTAAAATATTCAGAAAAAGAGTTTCATCTACACTGATAAATACAGATTTTTTTCTTGTCATTATTCCCTAAGCAATGCAGTAAGACAACTATTTGCATAGTATGTATATTTTATTAGTATTATAAATAATCTAGACATTAAAGTATACAAAAAGATGTTTGAAGGTAATATGAAATACTACCCCAATTTTACATAAGAGACTTGAGCATCTGTGGATCTTGATACCGGGAAGAGTGGGATTGTTGAAACAATCTTTGGCAGATAGCAAGGAATGACTGCATATGGTTTCACAAAATTTGGAAACCTTCAGCTATTATTTCTTCAAATATGTTTTGATCCCACACCTCTACATTTATTCATATATTAGGTGACTTCTAGTTGTTCTACATCTCACTTATATTCTTTTTCTTTTTTATCTCTTTTTTTCTCTGAATGTGTGAATTTTAGATAATTTCTATTGATATAGCTTAAAGTTCACTAATCTTTTCTTTAGCAATGTCTAGTTTGCCATTAATTCAATTTCATTTTTGTTTTTGTTTTTGCTTATTGTGATGCTGGGGATTGAACCCAGGGGCTTATGCAAGATACTCAACTATTGAGCTACATCCTCAGAACCTTAATGTATTTTTCATATTATAGACTTCATCTGTAGAAGTATGATTTAGGTCTTTTGTTCTATATTTTCTTCTCTTGGGAACTTTTTTAATATTTTGGGATATAGATATATGTCTTCATATCCTTGTTTACTAATTGTAATATTCATGACAATTCTGGGTTTGTTTCTGATAGGTTGATTTTTCTCTTCCTTATGGGTGGTACTTTCCTAAGTCTGATCAAAACTCTAGTTCTATCAGCTTATGGGAAAATACAGGGGTAGAGCCCATGTTAAACAACAATATAGGTCGGTAATCAGCAAAATGCAAAATATGGGAAACTCCACAGGACAAAGTATCCATTTCTTTTACATATGAAACAAAATGAAAGAAACAAAGGTTTAAGAGACTTAAGGAAAATGCAATGTAAGGACCTTGTTTGGGTCCTGAGTTGAAGAAATAAATTCTATAAAACGTGGGAAAATTTGAACACTGCGTAGACCTTAAGAAATTATTTATCTTAAAAGATTTTTAATGATGCCCTTGCTTTTTAAAAGAGACTTCATCATTTAAAGATGCATATGAAAATATTTATGAGTGAAATAACATGCTAGTTGTGATTTGTTTCAAAATACTCCAGGGAAGAAAGGTGGTGAGGATACAGATGGAACAAACTGTCCATGGGATGATAATTGTTGAAGCAGAGTAACAGGTGCATAGTAATTCATTATAAATTATTATTTTCACTTTTGCAATTGATATTAAATATTTTTCATGAATATTTGATAGTTTTTTTCCATTTTAAATGTTTTTTAATTAAAAATATTCAGATRTTCTTTTTGCTGAGAAAATGGACCCTACTATCTCTCTCCCTGCCCCAATACAATTAATTGTGCTCAGGACTATTCTCCCTCCATCATAATAAATTAAACACTTATTTATTTTCAATCTCCCTTACTTGGCCATAAGCCCCTTGAGAGCAAAGATGTTGTCTCATTTGTTTCATATTCTTTGTATTCTTACAACCAACTACAGAGCCTGAGTGCTCAATAAATGGTGATAAATTGGCAACCCTCTAGCCCCAAATCACCAAGGCACTCATGAAGAGGCTGACTCCACTGTATTAAATCAAATTTCAAGGCAGGATTTGTGTCCTTTGTACATTCAAGTTATATTGTGTATAAATGCATGGCAAAGGAGCCAAAGGAGTCCTAATGTAAAAACTCGGGCAATAAAACTGTCAAGACAAAACCAAGAATCCAGGTTGGCAGGGTCAGCAGTGTTGGAATTGTTTTATGGTTCACTGTGTACCGAGTACCTCCCTTTCTTACCCACATGAAGTCAACCTTGACCTTTGCGAAATCTTTCTGTCCTGCCCTACCTTTCTCACAGGATTGCTTTAAGTCTCAAGTAAGATATCATAAGCATGTGAAAGGGCTTTTAAAGTGGAAAAGCAGTATAAAGTTGAAAATATAATTTGTTTTTCTTTCCAAGGCATCTTACAGACAGTATCATTTTAGCTACTGGGAAAATAGACTTTGGGTGCAATTTTTCAGCAGGTAAAGCATGTTCTGGGCGATTTTATATACATTTTCCTTTCCTGGCAATCAACATACACACACACAACACATACACACACACACACACACTACACCTTGTGTGTGCCTGCTGTTTTGGGTGCAGGAGACAGAGAGTGAGGAATAGCAGTATATCTGGGACCTATCCTCACAGCCCATCTAATTCTTGGCTACTTTTAAGTCTTTACATACCTCCCAATCCTCCCCCTAGGAWTATCTCCATCCTTATCATGCTATTCAGTCTCCTGATTGACTTATTGCTATTTGTATGCTTATATACTTATTATATTCTTAATTAAGAACTTCACAAAAACACACTTGATTCGGGGTTCCTAATTCTGGGGAAATTTCTATTTTACAAATGTATTGTGGGAAAGGGCACAACTGTGGGCCAGTCAGCTTTCAGTTTTTGGGCAATTTTGCAAAGCCCTCGCAGGCTGAATCCTCCTGGTTATTGATGAGGTTTTTTTATTTGAAGCCAGACCACCTTATGAGGTGTGAAAATTGGAAAGTGGTTATGAGTGTCAGAATATTTAGCTGTGCATTTGGTTTTCTGTAGCTTTCTGTATTGGGGTTACATTTAACAACAATTATTTTTAAATTTCTTTCAAAATTCATATAACTTCTTGGGCTGAGCAGAATGTGGCGCAGGTGCTGGCCAACGCGAGGTCAGGATTGTCTGGTCAGCGGTGAGGGCCGCCCTCAAAGGGGCCCAGTGGCCTCTGAAGAGGGTAAAACAACTAAAGACTATAACAACAACCAGAATAAAAATGACGATGACAATAGTAATAGTAACACATTCGAGCAAGAGCCTCGTACCGGTCAAATAATAGTAACGCTTTAGACTCACACTTCTCTGCCAGGCCGCCATACAAGGGTGTGCGTGGTCTGCAGCCGCGGCGGCCCTCGCAGCTCCCTTTCTGCCCCCACCAGCCTGGAGGGGCGGACCCTGAGGGGCGAGGCGGGGCCTGGAGGGCGGGGAGGGACGGGGCGTCACCCCGCCGCGGAGGGTGGGACGAGCGGGAGGCGGCGGCGCGGCTGGGCGGGGCACACTCAGGCCTCAGCTCCTCACGCGCCGCGTTTGCATCCCCGAGCCCGCGCTGCGGGGAGCCCTGGTGGCGAGTGTGGCCCGCTAGCTAAGGCAGCCGCCGGAGGAGGAGCCGCGGGCTCTGAGGTAGGCGCGGGGGCTCCCGCCGCGCGGCCTACAGCCCTCGGCGACCCCGGCCCGGCCCAAGGGGTAGCGAAGCCGGGGGTGGGGGGCGGCGCGCGGAGGCCGGGCRGGCGGGGCCGGGCCTGGGGGCGGGGACCGGCCTGGCCAGAGGAACAGCCGAACGGACAGGGCTGTGGTCACGGTGACTCCGGGCAGTGCGGGCACCTCTGCGCACTGACCGGGGCCCGAGAGTGTGGAAAACGCCTGCTCGGGCGCCGGCGGAGGAGGGAGGCCGAGTGGCCGGCGCCTCCCACTTTTCGGGGCTCCGGGGCTAGTTCCCCCGCACAGTCCTCGGGAACTTGTTAACAGGAAAGCTTGGCAGGGAAGCAAATGCCAACGTTCTGGAAGAACTGAGAGTCACGTCGCTAGGCGCTGAGGCTTTATTTTCCTTCCCCGCCCCCTGCCCAACCTCGGCCCCGACTTGGCCAAAGAAGGATGTGTCACCAGCTCGGGGCCGCGGGCGGGATCCCTGCCCGGCTGGGAGCTGGGGTACCTGAAACAAAGGTAAACGGAGGCCGGGCGGATCTCGGCATTGCTCCGCGGCCGCGCTCCGAGTGCCTCGGTGGGTCTCCGCCGCGGTGGCCGGCCTCCGCCTTGGAGGGGTGTTCTCCTGGGGGACCTTTCGATGGAAACCAGCTGGCCGGGCTTGGAGTTGATGTTGCATCCGAACTCTCTTGTGCACACATTATTTCCATTCCTCCCACTCTGGTTAAAGCCTAAGGAAATTTTATCCCGCTTAATTGTCGGCAAATGTAGGGGGAGAGAAACTGCTGTTTGTAAATTATAAGGTATTTTCTTATTAGGCAGTGATCTGAAAACAAAATAAATTTTTAACACGTAAGCAGAAAGAGTGATTTGTAATGTCTTTCAAGATCAGAGGAAAGCGTTCCTCCTCAAATCTTCATTTATGTACAAAACATCCCCCGCACCTATGGTGCCAGGCATTTTTCTTTGTTCTTCCTTAGTGTCAGGCCTCAGTTTCTTGTAAACAGAGAGAGTACTCAGCGCCGAGACCCTAAGAATTGCCATACTAGGTCAGAGCATGGGCCTCCAGCTCAGCTCAGCTCAGCAGGCAGCAGGCTTGTGTTGTAGTAAAACACAGGGTGGTTTTTTTTTTTTTTTTTTTTTTCTTGGCGATACCTTTAAACAGTATCTAGATTTCTTTCAGTAGTCTCCATGACTTTTACTGAAAACCTTTTTAAAAAAAATAAATCTATAGACTTGTAATTTACACCCACAATTTAATCACAGTTATTGTATCCAAATGGCTCTCCCATGCTTTCTGGCAGAACTTATACTGTGATAAACTTGCGGGGTGGGGGGGGTGGGGAGGGAGCTGGCTATTTTATACAACTTTTATATTGTAAAAGAATATATAAGCTCAGAAATCCAGGACAGAAAAAACAAGTTTTAAAAAATAAATAAATAAATAAAAAGCTTTTGAGAAGTCTTTATCAGGTCCAATCTGGCTTTTGGGCTCAAAAATAATTATTTACTAGCAATCTGAACATTAAACACTTAATGATTTATTTGTACTTGTAAGTATTTGCATATTTTAAAACTCAGCTTAACATTCTTGAGAGTGAAGGGGCTGTCTGACTTTATCTTGGTCTGAACTAATTTGGCCTTAAATATTTAGCTGAAACCAACTATCTGAAGAGAAAGGAGTATGCGGTACTTTGAGAGTACCTGTTCAAACCATCTCTTTGCTTTTAAACTCTTCTGAGACTCCTCATTACTTCTAAGTCCCCAGTGATTTGGCCCCTGCCACCTTTCAACACTGAAGCTTTGCTTCCTCACTGAAGTTTTTCTTGACTTGCCCTCCAGGATCTCCCAAACAGAAACCCACAAACTTGGAGTAGAATTAACCACCCTCTTGAATATTACCATCTTTGAATCAGGATTTCTCATCTGTGGTACTATGGACATTTTATACCATGTAACACTTTGTTGTGGAGGGCTGTCCTGCACTCCTGGTTAATTAACTAGATATCAGTAGCAACTCCATACACTATTGTAACAATCTGAAATACCTCCAGATATTGCCACACATCCCCTGGGAAGGAGCAAATTCATCCCCAATTGAGAACTATATTCTAAACTAACTGCTGCTTAATACCAGTGACATTGCATTTTTCCTCATTTGCTTATGTGTTGGTTTCCTCAGCTAAACTGGGGGGCAAAAGCAAGCATCATTTATTTAACAAACATCTGAAGGCCTACTTTGCCAGCTGGATGCTAAGTTAAGTCTGGGAATATGGTGGTAAAAGCAACAATGTGGTCTCAGCATTTCTGGTCCTATAGTCTAAAGAAGGTGACAGATGTATATATGAGTAATTGCAGTTACCTCATTACAATTATGTTAAATTCTGGGAGGAGAACAACAGGTTACTCTGAATATTTAAAAGAGAGATTTTTGGAAACTAGGGGAAAAGTTTCCTTGGAAAAGTGACCTTTGAGGTGGACTCTGAAGGATAAATAGGAGTTACCAGATGAAGCTTAGAGGGTCAATATATCCCAGACAGGGGAAAAAAAAAAAGTGTGAAGGTCCTATGGCAGAAAGGAACAGCCTTTTCTGGGAACCCATAACCAGTGTGACTGGAGCATGGAAAATGGTGGGGCAGTATGATACATAATGAAGCTGGGAAAATAGAGGCTACTTGTCAGTGATTCTCAGTTTGGCCTGCTCATCAGAATCACCAGAGGTATTTAAACAGTATAGATGCCGGGGCCTCCTCCAGGGCCATTAAGTAAGAATGTCTTCCTTGGATCCCAATAGCCCCCATCAGCCAGCATTTCCCCCATGCTTTGCAAAGGTATGACACTGATGCCAGTTTTATCATTATAGACACTTTTAAATGGGCATTCAAGCAAATGCATGTTCTTTCTTCCTGTTGTTTACACAAATGGTAGCATACTGTGTATTCTTTTTTTAATAGTGTATTTAGAATCTATCTCTTGATATATAGTTTCCTTATTTTGTTGAAGGACTATATAATATTTCACTGGATGATTATACAACAGATTATTTAGCCACTGCCCTACTGACATTCAAATGATTTTCAGTCTATTACAGACAGTACTAAAAATATGCTAATTAATATGTATATGAATACATTTGTGGGATAAATTGCTAGAAGTGGAATTGTTCGGTCAAGTAAGTGTGTGTATGTGTATTTGCAAATACTTATTCCTAAATGTTCATTCTGGTCATATAGGAGAGAAAGGTTTGGAAGGAAACAAAAGTGAATGTGGGTGACAGCTGACCCTAATTTAGGTTACTGGGAATAACTTGGAGAGAAAGCTGGTTGCTGGGACTAAGGTGATAGCAGTAGAGGAGAGTATATGTATAAAGGAGATATATTTAGTAGGCATACTTGATAGGATTTGTTGGTTGATGTGGTATAAGAATTGAGGGAGGAGTTGGGTTGTGGATCAGTGGTAGAGTGCTCACCTAGCACGTGTGAGGAGGCACTGGGTTCAATTCTTATCACCACATATAAATAAATAAAATAAAGGTCCATTGACAACTAAATACATATTTAAAAAAAAATAATTGAGGGAGAAAAATAAGTTCCTAGGATGAATTTCTCAGAGTATTGGCTTGCCCCACCAGGTGAATGATGAAATTGTTCCCTGAGATAGAGAACATTGTAAGGGTAGTTTTGAGGTGTGTTTAAATCACTTTTCATTCACATTGGGATGCTGAGACTTTCAAGAATAGGTGTCACAGGCATTGAAAAGGGCAGAATTAGTGGCATAAATTTAAAGGTTAAAAATTAAAGGGTATGAGTGAAAGTACCCAGGGCAGAGGTTGCAGACCAGTAGCCCACCACAGAATCTGGCTAACAGATGTGTTTGTTTTGTTTTTCCCATACAGTGGTTTTGTTGTTTAATTCTATGTTAGTTGCCCGTACCTTAAAATCCAAAGATTTCCCATGAAAATCAGGATTTGAAGCTTCACTTTAAAAATGAGAAGATATGGCACTTCTAAGTTGGCTTTCCTGTATGGCAACAGTGACTGGAGCTAAGTCACAACTGATCTCAACTGCTTTCTAGTTCACTACAAAGCTCACAACTCTCTAAAACCTTAAGCCTGACCCTTTTTGATGATTTACTTCCCTGATTCTATAGGCTTTTGAGTGTGTGAGTTTTGGTCAAGGGAGAGTATAGAACAGTGATTTTCATCTTGGTTGCATATTAGGATCACTGAGTGATTAAAAACCACTAATTCTGGGGTCCACCTAGCAAGTTTCTATTTCTGTTTTCTTGGTCTGAATTGCAGCCTTAGATTTTTAAATGTTCCTCAAATGATTTCACTGAGCCGAGAAAGTTGAGAACCTCGAAAGAGATTAGTAAGAGAAAAGGGTTCAGGCCTAGTTTGGTAGAGAAGGGTAACTCAGGAACAGGTCATGTGGCCCAAGAGGTACAATGCGATTGCACTTTGCTTGAAGTTTAAGTATGTAAACTTAGCTAAATACATTGTACTGTATTTTTAATTAGATGAGAAAGAACCAAGTTTGATTTGCATGTATGTAAGTGTGCTATACTTAATGGGCCACTTAAAGGACTTTCAGGAGTAATTTAAACTATTGATTTTTGCCTTAGATGCTTACTTAAGAAGCTAATTCTAGTTTAAGGTGGGTTCTAAAAGGCAAAGGAAGAGAGTATTTCACAAAAAAAGTCATCAGGCAAAGATGTGGACTAAAAATAATCTGTTGACTTTAGCGAGATGGAGTCTTTGACTTTAGTAAGAACTGTTCTAGATTAGAAGAGGCAGAAACCAGATGGAGGTGAGTAGGAAGTAAGAAATGGGAATGGTGAATATTTGAAAAATCTTTTCTTTCTTTTTAAAATAATTATTTTATTATTATTATTATTTTGTGTGCTGGGGATTGAACCCAGGGCCTTGCACATGCTAAGCAAGTGCTCTACCACCTTAATTCAGTTCAAAAACTTAAGTT